ACCGGTAAAGTTTAATACTGGGATTTCAATGCTTTAATTTATAATGAATTTTAAATTCATTATGAACAAAAGCATTGAAATCCCAATATTAAACTTCACCGGCTTAGGCATAAGTTAACATTTACAACTTTCATAAACGAACCTTTTCAATAACATAAGAGCTACGTTGGAAAATGTTACTTACCATTTCTTGCTAAAACGGTTGCTGCGTACTTACGTTTATCACTGTACAACGCTTTGATAATACCTTTATTAATAACAACTTTATTTGATTTACACACGTAATGAATATCGTCATAAAATTTTATTAAGGCGTACATATTGAAAATGAAATTTTCTTATTACTTCTAAAACACGTATTCTTTCCTCAACTCATTACTTCTAAAACACGTATTTTTTCCTCAACTTATGCGTAATATGGCGGTATGGGTACTAAATAGTTTCTTTCCCGCGTTTTCGTATTGTAAAAATGGCCAGCAGGGAGAACCGAATTAAAGACTTGTATTCACGATGCTAGAAATTGGTCCGAGATCTCGATCTGAAAAGTGTAAGTCAATCAACTCGCAGCTTTTACGGAAAAATGCAATTTTATTAGCAATACATTTCTTGGATCGAGATCTCGGATCGATTTCTAACATTGTGTACACAAGCCTTTAACTCTGGCTGCGTTCGTTTTGCACGCTCACGCCCTGTAAGCATCATTCTGTCTTTATTGCACATTGCATATCGAACAAAGATAGAGCGATGCTATCAGCGCTAAAAGCGTCAAAACGAATGCAGCCTCTGTATTATGTTATAAGTTGTGAGTTCGGTTACGGTTGGAATTGACCAATGAGAGTAGCCGGCCGACAAATTGCCTCTACATATGATATGCTGTAAACAATAATTCTATTATGCGTCGTCTACAATGAGATTTTAAGGAGACTTAAGGCGTAAGACTTAAGAAATTGACCAATCACAGTCAAGTATTAAGAGAATACTTGACTGTGAATGGTCAATTCTTTGAGATTTACGCCTTACAACCTTATGCTACGGCCATTGTAGAATGGCCTTTAAGCATCGTCTACAATGGCCGTAGCATAAGGTTGTAAGGCCATAGTCGTAAGAAATTGACCAATCCCAGTTAAAGTTCAGGAGAATAATCAACTGTGATTGGTCAATTTCTTACGACTACGGCCATTGTAGACGACGCTTTAGGGCCGCTTCGACCAAACTCTGATTAACTTAATCGTTGATTAAAGGATTGCCAACATGACAAAATAATTCAGTGTGACCAATTGTATTTCTAACAATATACAGAGAGAAGCCAATATAATTGTAGAAATACAATATATCTATGTTAATATGTCTATGCTTACTATTCAATCATGATTGGTCGATTTCCTTATTGTTCAAGTCTTACTGCTTATATTCAGGTGAAATACCAATAATAGATAAAGCATTGTTACAAACCTGAACTACGTACACGAACTACGTGTGAAAATTGATCCGCTCCATAGGTATTCAGCAGAAAAAAGCTGTTTTGCAATCGTTATAAAATTCGTGAATCTGATTGGCGTATGTTCTTGAATTCAGCCAAAATTAAGAGCATGCACCAATATATATCGCCACATAATTCGTAATTTTTACAACAATTGCAAAGGAGCTTTTTCTATTCCATGTTTGTAATGATGCTTTATTAATGGTATTACACATTATATATGTCATATATTTTATGATAGAGTCAATACATACGCAAAGTTAGGATATTTATTGTGCATGCAGTAGAAAATGTAGAAAAACGTTCTGTTATTTTGTATATGTTTCACAATATGTATAGTGATTTATACATATAATTTTTTATTTTCAACTAATGTTCCCCGGGGGACAGGCCCCCCGGGGTGCTGATATACAATCAGCGACACTTACGCCGCGCGCAACCTTCAATAATTCATGGGCGGGGGATAATCGCCCCCCCCCCGCCAGTGGGCCGAGCAACACGCGCGCGGAGGGAGGAAAAACCTCCCCTCTATCATGAACATTTTGATAGTTCCTTTGCCCGGTTGGTTGGCCGGAGCAATTCACATCAATTACCATTGCTCACACCCCCGGGTCGAACGCAAGCGGAAAAAGTCATGAAATTAAAAAGGACCCGGGGGCGAGCACGCGGCAAGAAAAAAGAAAATAATAAAAATAGGAATACGGATTTCTCACGGCATTCACACTCGTATAAAATACAATAATGTTTTCGCGACATTCACACTCGCTAACTGTTAAGGATTCGCCCTGAATCGCGCATAAAATTATTACCCCCGGTCATACTAGCGCCATCCGTTTGCGCGCTATCGAACCCGCGTTCACGTACGCCGTTACTGTTTTTCAAAAATCATCCAGGATCCGCGTGATCACGCGAAATAATACACGGTCCTGGCCAATAAACAGGCTTACATATCACGCGATCTGACGTAATGATCAGGGATACGTCGAGTTCCGATCATACGATCCGTGATCAAATCTTTATCTATCGGGAGAAAGGCTTTCTCCCCGAGAGTCTTCCGTTTTCCATCATAGTGATCGGAGCGTCATACGGAGAGTAAAAATAGTGCAAATTCGAGAGTTCGCGATAATCTTAACGAGCAAAGTTAAGATTCATTTCATTAGTCTCACGCGTGCGAAATCCTTCAACCGCGAGCCTCAATCATTGTAACAGTTTCGCGAAGTAACATTGTGCGCGCCAGTCATCGTGTCCGCAGTGCACGTGAACAGTTCAAACGCGAGTGCCGGGATCTTTCGGAGCGCCTCCACTCTCAGCCAGAGGCGGAGCCTTCGTCGTACCGCCACTCCGTTCAAGCGAACTGGGCGTCTCTCTCGCTCTCCCGCGAACGGCCGATATAGCGCCGTCTCGCTCGCTCTCACGCGAACGGCCGATCTAGCGCCGTCTCGCTCGCTCTCACGCGAACGGCCGATATAGCGCCGTCTCGCTCGCTCTCACGTGAACGGCCGATAGAGCGCCGTCTCGCTCACTCTCCCGCGAGCCGTGAACAGTGCGGTTTCGCGTATTCATAGATAGCCACAAGTCAGTTATCTATCTCAAAATTGGGCGAACCGACGTGTATAGTGCGGTCTCGCTCGAACTCTAGTACGAACGGCATAACGCCGTCTCTCTCGCATTCGTGGCGAGTCGCGTATAGTGCGGTCTCGCTCGACCTCTAGTACGAACGGCATAACGCCGTCTCTCTCACATTCGCGGCGAGTCGTGTATAGTGCGGTCTCGCTCGAACTCTAGTACGAACGGCATAACGCCGTCTCTCTCACATTCGTGGCGAGTCGCGTATAGTGCGGTCTCGCTCGAACTCTAGTACGAACGGCATAACGCCGTCTCTCTCACATTCGTGGCGAGTCGCGTATAGTGCGGTCTCGCTCGAACTCTAGTACGAGCGGCATAACGCCGTCTCTCTCGCATTCGTGGCGAGCCGTGAACAGTGCGGTTTCGCGTATGCATAGATAGCCACAAGTCAGCTATCTATCTCAACATTGGGCGAACCGACGTGTATAGTGCGGTCTCGCTCGAACTCTAGTACGAACGGCATAACGCCGTCTCTCTCACATTCGTGGCGAGTCGCGTATAGTGCGGTCTCGCTTGAACTCTAGTACGAGCGGCATAACGCCGTCTCTCTCGCATTCGTGGCGAACCGACGTGTATAGTGCGGTCTCGCTCGAACTCTAGTACGAGCGGCATAACGCCGTCTCTCTCGCATTCGTGGCGAGCCGTGAACAGTGCGGTTTCGCGTATGCATAGATAGCCACAAGTCAGTTATCTATCTCAAAATTGGGCGAACCGACGTGTATAGTGCGGTCTCGCTCGAACTCTAGTACGAACGGCATAACGCCGTCTCTCTCGCATTCGTGGCGAGTCGCGTATAGTGCGGTCTCGCTCGACCTCTAGTACGAACGGCATAACGCCGTCTCTCTCACATTCGCGGCGAGTCGTGTATAGTGCGGTCTCGCTCGAACTCTAGTACGAACGGCATAACGCCGTCTCTCTCACATTCGTGGCGAGTCGCGTATAGTGCGGTCTCGCTCGAACTCTAGTACGAGCGGCATAACGCCGTCTCTCTCGCATTCGTGGCGAACCGACGTGTATAGTGCGGTCTCGCTCGAACTCTAGTACGAGCGGCATAACGCCGTCTCTCTCGCATTTGTGTCAAGTCGTGAACAGTGCGGTTCGCGTATTCGCAGATAGCAATATTCATTCTATCTATATCGGACCAGCGGACTGACGTGTATAGTGCGGTCTCGCTCAAACGCTTATCCGAGCGGCATAACGCCGTCTCGCTCGCTCTCACGCGAACGGCCGATATAGCGCCGTCTCGCTCACTCTCACGCGAACGGCCGATATAGCGCCGTCTCGTTCGCTCTCACACGAACGGCCGATATAGCGCCGTCTCACTCGCGCTCACGCGAACGGCCGATATAGCGCCGTCTCGCTCGCTCTCACGCGAACGGCTGTTAGAGCGCCGTCTCGCTCGCTCTCACGCGAACGGCTGATAGAGCGCCGTCTCGCTCGCTCTCAAGCGAACGGCCGATATAGCGCCGTCTCGCTCGATCTCGCTAACAGCTGATCGATAGCTGTCTCGCTCGCTCTCACGCGATCCGCGTAGTGGTGCGCTCTCACCCTACCTCGCGTCTTGAGACCAGCAAACGTGTATCATTTTGTGACTTTAACAATAAACGGACAGTAATTCGCTCACCGGTCTTACTGTAACACATTAAGTCGCAACTGCAGATCATTTCATTCCTATCAAGTATTCCTTACGCGATCACGCACTAAGAGAGCTTGCGATACCCCCGCGGGTATGTGCCGGCAAAGTTCAATCGCGCTTACCCGGTCTTACAAAATTCGCGAATCGAAAGCGCGATCCCGAACATTTTGGTCCTTCGAGCCGGATCGTAAGAGCTCGAAGTCAGCGTGATAACAATACTGTGAGTGAATTTGAAAGTTTTGACTACTGTCAGTGACAATGAGTGAATTAGTTGAAAATCAGCTTTCGACGCTACGCTTCGTAGCGAAAGCATTGGACAATTTCAAGAAAATTGGCCGGAATAATCTCACCTCCGCCAAGATACGAAACCGAATGACATCACTCAAGGAAACGTGGAATAATTGCCTGGAAGGACATCGCCTGTTGCTGCAACATTATCCGGAATCAAAACGCGATCTCATCGCTTATTTCCGAGACGAGCAACTGGATCAATACCAGGAAATCTACTTGACAGCACTGGACTACATGTCTGACTGTTTGGAGGAACTGGAACCGTGCGTGAGTCCGCTCCAATCAAGCGACCGATCTGTATCTCATATACAGTCGGAATCCGCGTTATCATTGAGACATTTACCGCCCATTCAATTACCACCGTTCTCCGGTAAAGCCGACGAGTGGGAAACTTTTCGCGATCGATTCACTGCGTTAATCATAAAGAATCCCGAATTATCCGATTTCGCGCGCATGCATTTTTTGGTCTCAAGCTTGACCGATAAAGCTCGCGATGTTGTAGCGGGTACTTCTGTTACCGCTGATAATTTTGACGTCGCTTGGAAAGCATTAACTTCTCGTTTTGAAAATAAACGTAAACTTGTTGAACTTCACATTGCTGAATTATACAATTTACCTTCGGCTAACAAAGAATGTGCCGCGGAATTGCACGCTTTACGAGATAAAGCCGATCGAGCGCTTTCAGCCTTAAAGCGGTTAAACCGAACACAAGAGGATATACTTAATGACATTTTAGTCTATTTTGTATCGCTCAAGCTTGACTCCGCCACTCGTCGCGCATGGAAACTCAAAACCGGATCGGAATCGACTCCGCCGAATTACGAAGACTTGATTACGTTTATATCATCGCGTGCGCTCGCATTAGAGGAATTAGCTCCTTCCGCTGCGAACAAAGGTCGACATACTGTTCAAGCGAACACTGCGACCTTCGCGCGTCAATCTTCCGGTCCGTGTCCAGTCTGTAAGACACCGCATTATCTTAGTAGGTGTCAACAATTTGTAATTAAGAGTCCGAATCAGAGACGCGAAATTGTCAAGAATTCAAATCTATGCTTCAATTGTCTCGGAACGAAACATTCCGTAAAAAACTGCCAAAGTAAAAATACATGTCGCATTTGTCAAAAAAGGCATCATTCTCTCTTGCATCTTGATTCGGCCTCTTCAAGCGATCTAGACGTTACACGAGCGAACACGTCTAGCACCAGCGCAACTATTGATAATCTCGAGCCATCGCAAACCGTCGCGATGTCCGCCGTATGTTCAAGTACGCCCGTGTCATCCGTATTACTGGCCACAGCGAAAGTAACAGTTCGGTCTCCCGACGGTCGCGTCTGTGAAGCTCGCGCCCTGATCGATCAAGGGTCAGAGGTCACTTTTATTTCAGCAAGATTAGCAAGAATCTTGCGGTTAACTCGGAAACGAATTTTCGCTCAAATTTCCGCAGTCGGCGGTATCAATGCGGATACATGTCGACATTCCGCTGTCATTGAACTCGCACCTCGCGGAAAGCCTAAGCCAGTTTTCACTACGGTCGCGTATATTCTAAATGCGCTTACTAAATACGCGCCGCGATTATCAGTCTCAGTATCGGATTGGAGACATATAAGTACACTCAAGTTAGCAGACGACGATCCCACAGGATCAAGCCCTATTGACGTAATCATCGGCGCCGACATTTACAGTCAAATCATTACGAATGGAATACGGAAAGGTCCAATCGGGCAACCTATCGCCCAGCGATCTCATTTTGGATGGATTATCTCTGGACCCGCTCAGAATCCAAACGTTTTGGCTCAAACGATTAACGTCTTTCATTGCTCAATCGAGCGTGAGTTACGCCGTTTTTGGGAAATCGAAGAGATCCTACGCTATAACATTTTGTCTCCTGCCGAAGAACAATGTGAGAAACATTTTCTTACGACTCACTCACGAATTTCCGACGGGCGTTACGTGGTTCGTCTGCCGTTTAAGACGAAGTCCCCTATCGACATCGGAGAGTCTCGATCAATAGCTATACGGAGACTAACAGCATTAAAAAGGCGTCTAGATACGAATCCAGATCTCAAATCGGAATATTCAGCGTTTCTTGAAGAATACGAGCAGTTAAAACACATGAAAAGAGTGCATCCTCCAGCCGCATCTCATTCACCGACGGTTTATCTTCCGCATCATCCTGTGATCCGCGCAACGAGCGCTACCACTAGACTACGCGTCGTGTTCAACGCGTCCAGCCTCACAACAAACGGTACATCGTTAAATTCACATTTAGAGATCGGGCCTAAATTACAAACGGAAATAACGGCGATCTTATTACGATGGCGGAAACATAAGTATGTTTACATGGCGGATATTGCCAAGATGTACCGACAGATTTTGGTCGACCCTCGTGATCGTGACTATCAACGTATTGTCTGGTATAATCAGGATCAATCGGACATTCAGGATTATCAATTATCCACTGTTACGTATGGAACCGCGTCAGCTCCGTTCCTGGCTTTACGAGTGATCAAGCAATTGATAACAGACGAAGGAGCCGCATTTCCCCTTGCAACTCCGATTCTTCAAGATGACAATACTGCTTTATGCGAGTTACACGGATTTGCAGATGCATCTAACGCGGCATACGTCGCCGCAGTTTATATGCACACGACCTCGCAATCAGGAGAAATAAAGATCACGTTATTAGCGGGCAAGTCGAAAGTCGCGCCACTCAAGATCACGAGCATCCCTCGATTGGAATTACAAGCAGCATGCCTTCTTGCTCGATTGATCGAGTTCACGCAATCATCACTCCAGATATCAAACGTCGCGTGTCATTGTTGGACGGACTCTACAGTAGCATTGGCATGGTTAAACTCACATCCGTCCAGATGGAAAACTTTCGTCTCTCATCGAGTCGCAGATATCCAATCTCGAGTACCTGAAGTTAAATGGCGGTACATTCCATCCGCGGATAACCCAGCCGATTGTGCTTCGAGAGGTATTCTACATTCCGATTTCAACGCCTTTAACTTGTGGTGGCACGGTCCTCCCTGGCTCAAACTAACTCAGACCAAATGGCCAAGAGATCCCGCTCCTCCGCTGGAAGAAGCGCCTGAGAAAAATCGGAAACTTATAGTACACGTAGCTCAAACAAATTCTGGCTGGGATTTAGCCACAAGATACTCCACGTGGCCGAAGCTAATCCGAATTACAGCATATACTATCCGTTTCGCAACCAGATTCCGAAAGAGAGATCAAACTTCAACTGACTCAGAGGTGCAAAGCCAATCTTTGACGGCAAGTGAATTTCAGACCGCACACAAATTTTGGACCGCACACAAATTTTGGATTAGATCAATCCAGTCAGACGTCTTCAGTGACGAATTGAACGCTCTCAAGAAACAACAAGCACTTCCATCAAAATCGGCGTTAGCGATGCGTACTACCCAACGATATCGAGTCTTCGGCTAACGGTTCTCCGAGCGACAATTGAGATTCACGCAGCCACAATTCAAGACGTGAATACGTCAAAGCGGAAGCATGTAAATATGTAAATACACCGATGTACATATGTATATACTAATAATTTGTAATAATGTAAATACGTAAATCTGCGTTCCTGTAAATATGTACATATGTATTCATAAACCTGTAAAATCGCTCCGATGCGATATCAGTCGCTCACGGCGGGCGGCATCCGATAACTCTTTACTTTCGAAATTATAATTTCGAGGCGGGCGGTATGTTAAGGATTCGCCCTGAATCGCGCATAAAATTATTACCCCCGGTCATACTAGCGCCATCCGTTTGCGCGCTATCGAACCCGCGTTCACGTATGCCGTTACTGTTTTTCAAAAATCATCCAGGATCCGCGTGATCACGCGAAATAATACACGGTCCTGGCCAATAAACAGGCTTACATATCACGCGATCTGACGTAATGATCAGGGATACGTCGAGTTCCGATCATACGATCCGTGATCAAATCTTTATCTATCGGGAGAAAGGCTTTCTCCCCGAGAGTCTTCCGTTTTCCATCATAGTGATCGGAGCGTCATACGGAGAGTAAAAATAGTGCAAATTCGAGAGTTCGCGATAATCTTAACGAGCAAAGTTAAGATTCATTTCATTAGTCTCACGCGTGCGAAATCCTTCAACCGCGAGCCTCAATCATTGTAACAGTTTCGCGAAGTAACATTGTGCGCGCCAGTCATCGTGTCCGCAGTGCACGTGAACAGTTCAAACGCGAGTGCCGGGATCTTTCGGAGCGCCTCCACTCTCAGCCAGAGGCGGAGCCTTCGTCGTACCGCCACTCCGTTCAAGCGAACTGGGCGTCTCTCTCGCTCTCCCGCGAACGGCCGATATAGCGCCGTCTCGCTCGCTCTCACGCGAACGGCCGATCTAGCGCCGTCTCGCTCGCTCTCACGCGAACGGCCGATATAGCGCCGTCTCGCTCGCTCTCACGTGAACGGCCGATAGAGCGCCGTCTCGCTCACTCTCCCGCGAGCCGTGAACAGTGCGGTTTCGCGTATTCATAGATAGCCACAAGTCAGTTATCTATCTCAAAATTGGGCGAACCGACGTGTATAGTGCGGTCTCGCTCGAACTCTAGTACGAACGGCATAACGCCGTCTCTCCCGCATTCGTGGCGAGTCGCGTATAGTGCGGTCTCGCTCGACCTCTAGTACGAACGGCATAACGCCGTCTCTCTCACATTCGCGGCGAGTCGTGTATAGTGCGGTCTCGCTCGAACTCTAGTACGAACGGCATAACGCCGTCTCTCTCACATTCGTGGCGAGTCGCGTATAGTGCGGTCTCGCTCGAACTCTAGTACGAACGGCATAACGCCGTCTCTCTCACATTCGTGGCGAGTCGCGTATAGTGCGGTCTCGCTCGAACTCTAGTACGAGCGGCATAACGCCGTCTCTCTCGCATTCGTGGCGAGCCGTGAACAGTGCGGTTTCGCGTATGCATAGATAGCCACAAGTCAGCTATCTATCTCAACATTGGGCGAACCGACGTGTATAGTGCGGTCTCGCTCGAACTCTAGTACGAACGGCATAACGCCGTCTCTCTCACATTCGTGGCGAGTCGCGTATAGTGCGGTCTCGCTTGAACTCTAGTACGAGCGGCATAACGCCGTCTCTCTCGCATTCGTGGCGAACCGACGTGTATAGTGCGGTCTCGCTCGAACTCTAGTACGAGCGGCATAACGCCGTCTCTCTCGCATTCGTGGCGAGCCGTGAACAGTGCGGTTTCGCGTATGCATAGATAGCCACAAGTCAGCTATCTATCTCAACATTGGGCGAACCGACGTGTATAGTGCGGTCTCGCTCGAACTCTAGTACGAACGGCATAACGCCGTCTCTCTCGCATTCGTGGCGAACCGACGTGTATAGTGCGGTCTCGCTCGAACTCTAGTACGAGCGGCATAACGCCGTCTCTCTCGCATTCGTGGCGAACCGACGTGTATAGTGCGGTCTCGCTCGAACTCTAGTACGAGCGGCATAACGCCGTCTCTCTCGCATTTGTGTCAAGTCGTGAACAGTGCGGTTCGCGTATTCGCAGATAGCAATATTCATTCTATCTATATCGGACCAGCGGACTGACGTGTATAGTGCGGTCTCGCTCAAACGCTTATCCGAGAGGCATAACGCCGTCTCGCTCGCTCTCACGCGAACGGCCGATATAGCGCCGTCTCGCTCACTCTCACGCGAACGGCCGATATAGCGCCGTCTCGTTCGCTCTCACACGAACGGCCGATATAGCGCCGTCTCACTCGCGCTCACGCGAACGGCCGATATAGCGCCGTCTCGTTCGCTCTCACGCGAACGGCTGATAGAGCGCCGTCTCGCTCGCTCTCACGCGAACGGCTGATAGAGCGCCGTCTCGCTCGCTCTCAAGCGAACGGCCGATATAGCGCCGTCTCGCTCGATCTCGCTAACAGCTGATCGATAACTGTCTCGCTCGCTCTCACGCGATCCGCGTAGTGGTGCGCTCTCACCCTACCTCGCGTCTTGAGACCAGCAAACGTGTATCATTTTGTGACTTTAACAATAAACGGACAGTAATTCGCTCACCGGTCTTACTGTAACACATTAAGTCGCAACTGCAGATCATTTCATTCCTATCAAGTATTCCTTACGCGATCACGCACTAAGAGAGCTTGCGATACCCCCGCGGGTATGTGTCGGCAAAGTTCAATCGCGCTTACCCGGTCTTACAAAATTCGCGAATCGAAAGCGCGATCCCGAACACTAACAAAGAGGCCCACACAACATGCAATAAACATTTTAAAACATAACAATATATAAAGAAGAAAATACAAAAAAGATTAAAACCGTGGGCAAGAAAACAACTAACTAATAAATTACGCGGCATTCACACATAGCAACATACAACAGGGACTAGACAAATCACCACAGGACAACTAGTGCCGCTCCTGCTCGGCGGGCCCGCGCCGGCAAAACGCGCGGGGGGGCGTAGCGGGCACCCCACCAGCAGAGGGGCATGAAGGTGCGGCGTACTGGCGAACGCCAGACACGTGCTCCACGTAGATATCCCTGGACCAGCGGATGGAATCCGAGACAACGAGACGGCGCAACAAAGAGGCATATGCACTGCCAATGTGCAACACCCGAAGCACCTCGTTGGCCGGATCCCCCGAGACCAAGGAACCGACGACGAAGGCCGTCACGACGACGCGGTACCCCTCGCGCTGGAGCGCCTCCGCTAGGGACGAGTATTTGACAACCTTCCTCGCCCTAGCCTCCTCGAACGACTTCCAGCGGTTTTCGAAGGGCACCGCAACGTCGCATATGACGACACACTTGGAGGGCTCGTGCCTGACCACAAGGTCAGGTCGTAGCTCCCCAGGTTCCCCGCCAATTCCCTCAACTCGCCGATTCACCCGCTTATCTCCCGGCATCCGACAAGCCTTCCAGAGGCGGTGCAATGCGGCGTCGTGCCTCAGCTGTATGGCGGCAGAGTGGATCCCACAATGGTTTAAAACGTGGGGAAGGGTCTCGGCTGCCAACCCGCAACGCCGACACCTTCGGTCTGCCTCCCCCCAACGGCATGCACCGTTGAGTGGGAGGACATCCAATTTGGCTCGGTGTATAAATCGCCAGTCGGCGAAGCGGGTGAAGCTGCCGCCGCGGACAAAGTGATTGCTCACCCCAGCCCGCGACGACACCTCGAACACCTTCCCCTGGTCCGGTTTGGATATTAGCGAATTGAAATAATACGCCGCCACCGCCGAGCGCAGACGGGTCACCACCTGGTTGCGAGCACCAGGTGGGACTTTTACCGCGTCGCCCCTGGGACCCTGGCACTCGATTATCAGCTCCTCGGTCGCTTCACACCACCGCCACCGAAGGAGCAACCTTTCGGACTGCCTCCTCGCGGCATTCCTTGCCCTCGACCACAGGGAGGATTCACCCCCGCCTCGCAGCCTCCCCTCGAGTGAGTCCGAGAGGAAAGCCGCGTCCGACGTCCTCGTTGGTCGGAGGATCGCCAATGCGCCTGGTTACAACTCCCCGCAGAGACGCCCACGCGAGATTCCTGACCGCGTCGCAGCCAGCCGTAAGCATACGGAAGGCATGCGACACGGACAGGATATCCGCAAGGTCAGCTAGCGGAAGCAGTCCACAACCCCCGACTCTCGGGGGAGGTAGACAACCTCCGCGCTGGCTCTCTGCGGGAGGTTGAGCCAGGACTTGGCCATCCGCCGGACCTGCAGGTCGGCGGCCTTCAGGGGTTTTTTCTCCACTGTGGCGCCCCGCAGCAGAAAATCCAACCGTGGCAAGATGTTGGTGGCCACTAACTCCAACTTCTGCCACGGAGCGAGGAGAGATTGGTCAACCTCTCGGAGATCCTCGAGGAGGCCCTCAATTGTGACGAATGGTGTTTGGTCGACCGAGGACCCGGTCGGGACACCAAGATATCTATAAGGCTCACCAGATGCAAGGCGATGAACGGGCTGTCTCTGGATGACGAACGTCGTCGGCAGGACCCTGTCGCCAGAGCCCGCGGCGAGATTCAGGGTGGCACATTTGGCAGGGTTGAACCGCAACCCCACCGACGACGCCGCGCCCTCCGCGACGGCCAAAAGCCGCCGCATTCCCTCAGGCGTATCTGCGACGAGTGCAATGTCATCCGCGTACGCCACAATACTGTGACGAGAGTCCAAGAGATCGAACCCCGCATCGACCGCGGTAACTGCACGCAGTACCGAGTCGATAGCAAGGTCAAATACAATCGGGCTCAGCGGACAACCCTGCCGCACACCCGAGCGAATAAGGACAGGAGTGGTGTAGCCCTCAGCGGTTCGGACCCGCGTGGAGCTCCCGTCATACATGGAATTCCATACATTGACGAGACCCCCCGGCACGCCGGAGCGAACGAGAGCGCGGCGGATCGCCGCGTGTGGGACCGAACCAAACGCATTGGATAGGTCCAGCCACGCGACGATCGCCTGCCGTCGAGTCCGCCGGGCATCAGTCAGAACTTCCTGAAGAACGAAGTTGTGTTCAAAACACCCCTCGTCCCGCAGGAACCCCTTCTGAGCCGGACAAAGCTTGTTGTTGGCGACCGCCCATTCGGTCATACGATCGGCGATGAGCGCGGCAAAAAGCTTGGGGGCGGTGTCTCCCAGTGCGAGAGGGCGCCAGTTTTCTAAAGAGTCGCGATCCCCTTTCTTGTACACCAATATGGTGTTGGAGGTCTTCCAGGACGCGGGGACTGCCTCGAGCCGATAGCACGCGTTAAACAGCGCAGTGAGAAGTCGCGCCCCAGGATCCGCTCCACGGAGGTCATGGTACGTGATACCATCGGGACCCGGCGCAGAATTCGTCATACGCCGGAGCCGACGGTCCACTTCTCGCTCCGTGAAGGGATCCATGAGGTACGCGTACTCCTCCCCATCAACCGAGGGGTCAGTGGGCTCAGCCCCCGCGCTGGAACCGTCCAGGTCCTCCCCTCCGCGATACAGCCGCTCGAAGTACGCATGAACCCGATCCTTCGGCACTTGACAGAATTCTACGGGCCCCTGCAATACTTCCCTGACCGCCTTGCATCGGTTCGTCCTGTACAGCGCCTGCACGCGCGTGGCCTCGCGCACCCACCCGCCGCGTCCTTCTCCCGACTGCGGAGGGCCAGTCGGTGCCGACCCTCTTTCCCCCCTTACACCGCCACCGTCTCCCACCGACACCCCTCCCTCGCCGCGCCGCTCTCCCGCCTCACGCGACCGAACTGGACGGTCGCGGACGCCGGATGCACCTCCATCAACCCTCCCCGATGCCTCCTCCCCGAAGAAAGCCGCGACCGAGGGCCGCAAACTCCTCCAGGTCCGCAATCGAGGTGACGGCCTCGGCACGCCCAACCAGCACATCGCGAGCGGCCACTCGCCGCCGTCTGCGGAGTCCTGCGACTGCCGCAGGGGCAGATCGGCCACCGTATGGCTGGGCAGACGGGTCGGCGGCACGCCGCAGGCCTCGGGGGTGCCTCCCGCCTCCGCTGCTCCTCGGACCCGCCGGTGTCTCCCTGCCAGCTCCGACGCCGCCGGCTGCGTGTCCTCTCCGCCGACGACCCATCACCCCAGGGACACCCACCGGAGCACTCGGATAACCGACGCCTCCTGGTCCCCCAGGTCGTCCAGCACGCACTCCCGATGCTCCTTCCACGCTAGTCCCCTGAGGTGGGACCCCCGCTCCATCCCCTGAAACAGCGCAGCCCAAAGTCCGCTGAACCTGGACCGTGTACGGTCTCATTAATGAATTTAAGTTCGCCGGCGCTTGCAACGAGGGAGGGCCGGGCACCGGGCCCCGCCCCGCGGCCGTCGGACTCCCGCCGCCGGGGGAGCCACCGCTCAGCCGCCGCCTCGCCCTTCTCCCCAGGCGCACTCTCCACGGCTCATCCTCCTCTCCACTGTCCCCCTCGCCCTTCGTACTCCCCTGCGCCACCTCCTTCGGATGCCGCCGCTCCTCCACCCTGGATGGTGTTAGGGGCCTCTCCTCCTCTTGACGCATCCGCCGCCCGACCAGACACGGCGACATCTCCGTGATATGAGGGAGGTGGGGAGGACGGGGCAGCGTGCCCCGCCTCCCCGCGGGGAACCCCGTGGACATCACGGGGAACCCGCATGAAACTGTCGTCACCGTGCTGGTCGTGAGTGCGACAGGCGCTGACGACACCGCGGGCATCGCCGACGGTGATAGTGGCGACCTCTGGCCCCCCACTGGACCGCCGCGGATGGACTGCGGCGGGGTGGGGGTACGTCTTGCGGGGGGCATGGTCCCACGTTGCAGGGGGGGCGTCCTCGCCGTCCCCTGGGCCCCCACTCCTTCTGTCGCCCGCGGTGTCAGCGCGGCGCTCAAGTCGCGCACCGCGGTGCCGGCTTTTCGGATGGTGGATGCCGGCTGGGCCCCTGGGCTTCTCCTCTTCTTCTTTGATGCTCTTCGGGGCCCCCGCGATGCGCTATTGGCCGATGGTCTGGCCTGTGCCCTCGCCTCCGTTGCGCACTTCGCGGCCGATGCGCTCGCCCGAGCCTGTTTCCTGGTGCGAGGCCCCGCCCGGATGATGTTTGACGGGGTCCTCTCGGGCGACCTTCGGTGATGGGAGGGGGGGTCCGCGCATCGACCTGGACGCGCCGCTCTTTTCGAGAGGCACGCTGCTGGACCTCCGTATCCTCGGATTATATATGGACCCCGCCGAGCTGATGGTGGTTGGCGGGGTCACGGAGGTCCTCATTAATGGTCCATTCGCCTCGCCGGATGGTCTGCGAGGCGATCCGCGTGCCTCTCTCGACGCGGGAGACGAGCTCTTCCTATTGGCTGCGCCGCACTTCAATGGAAGCCTGCCTTTAGGTTGCGGATGCGCCTTAAGGCCCGTAGTTGCGGCGGCCGGCGCGCCGGCCGTGGCGCTATCCAAGATGGCGACCATGCCACCTGTCACCGCTGCTGCTGCTGATGACGAAGCTGCTGTTGTTGTTGCTGTTGTGGCCGCCGACGGCGATGATCTGCGCGTCGACGGCCCCGGTGCTGCGGTGACGGCCGCGTACGAAGGGGACGTCCTCGCCGGTAGTGTGGCGGGTGTGGATGCTGCTGTTGCAGGTGGTGTTGCCGCTGTTATTCCTGGCGCCGGAGCCGTGGAGCGCAACCCAGGTTGCCGCGAGTCGGACGGGCGACCCCGCGATGACGCCCCGGCGGACGCCGACGACCCCGGGGCGAAACCCGCCGCCGGCCGGCCCCGCGCATCCGTGGAGGACCCATCGTAATTGACATTACCATTGTTGGAGTTACTTGCTCCGTCCGTGCTGCGACCCGCTCGGCCCCGGGGAGTCACGTGCTCTTTCTTAAAATGAGCCTTTACTAGCCTCACGGGGTAGGCCCCGTATCCGCGAAAATCGCACTCCGCGCATTTATAAGTAATTGTGTCCCCGGGGTGTTTCGCTTTCAGGTGCTTCGCCAAATGGAGCGGGTCGCAGAATTCGCCCCGTGACCTAACCTCCGGGTCCTCCCTCCGCCAACAGCGGGGACAATATACCCTCGCCGGGAACGGGTAGGGGAGGACCACCACTTGTGGAGACGCGGACATATTATGTCTTACTTTTATTCGGTTTAACGGCCAAATGCCTTTTTAATAATTAATAGAAAAGTGCGTGGGTCGTGCGGACAGCGCGCGCAGAGCGAGGGGGCAGCCCGCAGCGGGCGGATCCGCGAACAGTGGGTCTCGGGAGGAACCCGGGGCACACCGCCGTCACGCGCTGCACCCTCACGCCGCGCACTCACCGCGGCACCACGCACTATGCATGACTAGCTGTCACGGGACGACAAAAACGCACGCACTTAACCTCACTAATCACGGACGGAGCAGCACTCCTTGAAAACGCGGCACCAGACACTTACAGACGCAGACACATTGCCTCGGCACACAAACTCCCGGACACACACTCTCGAACAATTAGTTAAATAATAATATTAACAATAAAAATAAAAATATTGGACGCCTAACGTCTAACACGTGGACGCGACCACGTGCGCCGACGATGAGTATATAGTGATTTATACATATAATACTACAATATATTGATCCGTCGTTACGCGATGTGGAGCGAACGTGTCCAGACATGTCCGAATGCGTCTACACATGTCCAGATGCGTTTTCCCATGTGTCTCTTATTAAAATTAAATTTTTAATTTTCTATCAAGTCTTATTTCTTCAATCTGTTTTTGCAACTCAAATACCAGTTAATGGCTATATGCTTACTGTCGATAAATAATTTTAATAATCACCGTCGATAAATATTTTGAATAATCACTGTACTTTTTCGCCAATCTTATATATGAAAGCGTTTTTCTATATTATCTACTGCGCATATGATAATCCATATGCACATATTCTATAATCTCATGTATTTTATTTATCTTATCATTTCATCTCATTATTCTTGTTATATTAAACATATATTTGTTACAATTCTAAATTTTCAATCTTTATGAAGGACATTGACTGAGAATTCTTTCAGTGAAAGTGCTTGAGTATTTCAACAATGTGGAGCAAATTCTTGGCTATATGTAATAAGACATATTAGGTGTTTTCCATTTACATCAAAACTCAGATAAATCTCACTTCTGTCTTTCTCCAACATTCATGTTAAAGAAAGACAGAAGTGAGATTTATCTGAGTTTTGATGTAAATGGAAAGCACCTGTTATGATCACAGAAGTGAGTATTTTTGTTATATTTTCATAATTTATGATAAGTACGCATACACAACATAAATTTAAAAAACTAATTAATTAAAACATTTTAATAAGTAATTTATTAATCATTCTTTTTTATTTACAGTAAGATTTTTACATAGTAATTAATGCATTTTTGTGTCTGCATAACTCAAATCAGTGCTAAGATAACTGTGTAACTACAGCATAATATTGTATAATGTTATCTTAAAAATTGTGTTCTCTTACTTATTCAATAAAAGAAAAGTGATTTGTGATGATGACAATTACATATTGTATTGTCTTAGTGTCATGCTGTCTGTTAATATATCATATTTAATAATTTCATTGGACTGTATACATATATGAGAATACACTATTTTTGGTTGAAATAACTATGCATCAATATAAAAATTATATTTATATTAATTATATTTATGTAATTACACTTGACAACTTACATTTATACACTGTCTTACATAATGCATATATATACATATATTCAAATATAATGTTAGAACATATTTATAAATTTGTATTTGTACGTCGATGTTTTTCCTATGCTCTCATATAATGCATATACATATATTGAAATATGGTAAAAAAATAGGTATATTTATATATTTGTATATCGGTGTTTTTCGTATGATAAATGCTGTTTGTGAATAATTAAAAATAATACTGTATTCTTTCACACTTAAAATTTCACATATGTCAGAGCATTGTGAGATTTTAAGAGTATGAAAGGATATAGTACAATTTAGTATTTATCATACGAAAAACACCGATATACAAATATATAAATATACCTATTTTTTTACCATATTTTTAATATATGTATATGCATTATATGAGAGCATAGGAAAAACATCGACGTACAAATACAAATTTATAAATATGTTCTAACATTATATTTGAATATATGTATATATATGCATTATGTAAGACAGTGTATAAATGTAAGTCGTCAAGTGTAATTACATAAATATAATTTTTATATTGATGCATAGTTATTTCAACCAAAAATAGTGTATTCTCATATATACAGTCCAAGGAAATTATCAAGTTGATATTTCGGTTAAGAACAAAATATAAGATTTCTCTTCTCAAGCAGCACAGATAATACATACATATAATACACATATATACAGGGTCTACCAAAAGTGTGGAAACCCCTAAATATCTCGGAAAATATACGTTTTACAGAAAAGTGTTTCCAACAAAAGTTGTAGGGTTTAAGAAGATCTATATACTGATTCTATCAGTTTGACCTTGGATGGCGTCGTCAAGGTCAGGTCAAGGTCACATTGACTTTTTTAAATGACACCCCCTACATTTGATTGCATATTCTTATAGCTTAATTCAAGAGCTTTCCAAAACACTATAATAATGTTCATTTTTATTAAGTACTTTGCGAGTTATGAGGGTTGAATGATAGAGTAGCGCCGGTATTAACATTATCCAAGGTGTACTACATGGAGGTTACTCGCTCGGATTTGCATCTGTTGTGTGTGTGATCCAGCTAACTAAGGCAAGATCGGTCGTGGATCCAGTCAGCAAAAGCAAAGACCCAACCAAATTACAATCGAGCATTTAAAGACCTGGAAAGCAATCGACATAGTAAACAGTAAATAAATTTGTGGATGCTCATTTATCATAATAATTGTTCGAAATGTGTGCGTGTGCGTGCGTGCGGTGCGTGTATACAGAGATCAGGTTAGGTTGCACCAAACGATTGCAAATGTGTTTCAATGTGTTAAAGTAAATGCTGAAAGTGGCTGCCATTTACTTCCTGACAATATGCTAATCTTTGGTAGAATGTAGAAATGACTTTACGATTCGTTTCAAAAGGTATCAAAGCCATTTCATCCCTTATTCGCTGTATCAATTCGTGAATGGTTTTAGGTTTTGTTCTGTAAACCTTACTCTTCAGATATCCCCATAGATAATAATCAAGAGGAGTTAGATCTGGTGACCGAGGTGGCCAATCCTCTCCTCCCTCATTTCCGTTCCTTCTTCCTATCCACCGTAGCGGAAAAGTCTCATTTAAAATACGACGTGGTCCTGCACCAAAATGAGCAGGAGCTCCATCATGCTGAAACCATATTTCTTGGAAATTATTTGGAAAAGTATTCTGTATGGCTGGAATTATTTGATCAACAAGTAATCTCTCATACCTTTGAGCGTTCAAATATTCTTCAAAAAAAAACGGCCCTATTAAATAGCCATCTATTATTCCGCACCATACATTTATTTTTTGTGGATGTTGTGTGTGAGTTTCCCGCACCCAATTCGGATTCTCATCTGACCAGAAACGAAAATTTTGATTATTAACTTCTCCCGTTAAGGTAAAAGTTGCCTCGTCTGTGAAAACAATTTGATAAGGGAAGATGGGCCGGACATCTATTAGTGCCATCATTCTTTCACAGAAATGTATACGACGCTCCTCATCTCCGTTTTGCAATTCTTGAACGTATTGCAATTTATATGGATGGAACTTGTTCTTCTTTAAAATTCTCCAAACCGACATGGGAGCAATATCGTGAGTTTGAGCGACTCTCTGAACACTAG